GTTGCCTCATTGGTGTAGAAATACACACACCACACACACACCACACAGACTATCTGTGTAGAGTATTATGCTATATGAAAATAGTCATGGATTGTCAAGCCCTTATAACAACTTCAGGTCTAGTCTAGTCACTACAGCTGTTGCTGAACCCAGAAAACTTGAAAGCACAACAGTACTTACCATTTCACACCCACCACCATCACTACTGATGCAAAGTTATGCCACCACCCTCTGCCCAGGAGTATACACATATAACAACTTTGTAAGATAAATACTATTTTTTTTTTTTTTTTTGACAAAGAGAGACATAGTGAGAGCAGGAACACAAGCAGGGGGAGCGGGAGAGGGAGAAGCAGGCTTCCCGCCGAGCAGGGGCCCGATGCGGGGCTCGATCCCAGGACCCTGGGATCATGACCTGAGCCGAAGGCAGACGCTTAACGACTGAGCCACCCAGGTGCCCCTGTAAGGTAAATACTATTATTAACCCCATTTTACAGATGAGGGAACTAAGTTGTACAAAGGTTAAACCGTTTTCCCCAGGTCACATAGTCAGCAAGTGCCATAGAGCCAGAATTCAACCCCAGGCAGTCTGTCCCAGAGTCTGTACTCTTAATCACTATGCCACACTTCCTTCTGGGATTATTTTAATTATGCCTAAAAAGCGAAGACTCTTCACATATTAAAAAACAAAAACAAAACTCTACTGTTTGTGGAAGGGAATCTCAGCCGTGAAGTCCCACTCTCACTTCAGTGAGGTATGTGGGAACATGAGAGAATGCAGAGGTAAACATTTTTTAGTTTGAAAGAGATCTTCCAATTAGCTAGGAGGATAGGCATTAAAGGGGCTAAGAAATACTAGCCTATGGTTGATTTTATGTAGTGTAAGCATTTCAAGTATTTTTTCTCTTTAAAAGGCATGACATTCTTTAATTCCTCTTTTTGTGGTTAGCTCTTTCAAAGCAAAAGAAAATCTAATTCTGGTAGGGGATTTTATAGTAGCAAGCTGAAACTTGAAGTTTCTGGACCTTAGAATCTCCTACCCCATTAAAATATTTAATAAACCAGAACACTTCTATATTACTGCTTTAGAGCAATGTAGTACTAAGGGGAATAGAAAGGTGACTAAGATTGGGAAACTTATTTTCTGTGTAAATAAAACTATATTTTGGTTACCTTTCATCCTTTTCAAATTTTTGAAAGCAAAATTTTTAATCAAAACTGTGATTTCCTGAAATTGATTTTTAATAGATTTTTTTTCCATACTGTCCTTTTCCTTCGTTTCCTCTCTTCTCTTTCCTGCTCACGGATACTTATATGGTAGTGTTAAAATACCCCAAATCTGGAATTTAAGTGTTTAAATAACAAGAGAAAGGGATCTGATTATAATGCGATTCATAAATAATGTTCCTTCTGATTGTTTTGTATGCAAATGACCATGCTACGTGAGTAATTTTTAAGACTCCTTTGAAGGAGTTTGAGCATGGGCATTCTGGTCATTTGGAATCCTTTGTACAACTTGACTCATCTGGACATTGTGTTCTACTGATAAACTGTAGAAGCTGTTTAATGTTTTTATAATGGGTATGCATCATTAAAATTTTCAGATCCTTACTAAGTGACTGACACACATTTTGCCTAAACTTGAAATAGTAATATAGGCCCCTTTGTAGAATGGCAAGTAGTAGACACTGGCCAAAGATAGAAAATCATCTTAGACTTTTCAGAAATAACAGGACAGCTTCCTAAAGAACGTGGTGGCCCGAACTCATGTCAACTTTCATGCCCTTCCAAAACTCCAGTAGAATGAAACTGAAGAGGTTTCTTTAAAGTATAAACCCACAAGAATGAGGAAAACAATAGGAAAGGCAATTGTAACAAAAGTCAGGAAGTTGGAAAACAGATTGAGCAGTCAGAACCCTAAGCCAGCAGGGGAAAACCAGCAGCCAACCTGATTTACACCACAGAACTGAAAAACTGGCAGGATTAGTGCCCATGGAAAAGGGGTTGAAAGGGTTGCTACGCTTGGGGCTGGTTGAAATCTGTTGAAGAACTCAGATCCCCAGAACCCCTACCCACCATCCCACAGCTGGGGGATTCTTCGTTCCCTGACATGACAGGGGACTGGGGGCTTACTCTGGAGAGGGAGCCAGAGACTCTCTAGACTCAGAGGCGCCTGGGACAGGCATAATGAAAATGGCACGGTTAAGTGATGACAGGGCGCCGAGTGCTTAGACCCCCAGCCCTGCTACCAGAAAGCCAATGGGGGTCTTTCTGCTACCAGAAAGCCAACAACTGGGCCTTCATTCTCTGGGCAGGATACTAGAGGATCTTCCTCTGCGGCAATGGCAAATTCAAGAGGAAAGACCAACTTAAATGGCCCAACCAGATCATCCTCAGCGTAGCTCCCAATCAACAAACTGCACTCACAGGCTGAGAGCCCTCAATCCGATGTTTAATCCCGTCGGTAAATGTGAGTCAACAACAAAGACTCACCGGATAACTTGGTCATCTGATCGGCCTCTGCTGTGAAATATGGAGACTAAAACAAACAGAAGGAAGTGACTTGGAGGAACGGTGCAGGGAAAGCACAGCTGCCAAAAATCCTAATAGTTCATTAACCCTCTTCTCTACTTTCATGCATGTTTTAAAATTTCCATCCTAATTCTCATAGAGCTAAGATACTGTAATAATAAGACAACAATGTTGTAATATTGTAACAAAAACAACAATAAAACAGGAACATCCAAACTGCTCTTAGAAATTAAAAATATGAGAAAAGAAGTAAAAACTCATTAAAAAAAAAAGTTTAGAAATTAAATAAGAATCTCCTAGAAAGAAGGACACAAAGACAGAGATGGAAGAAAATGAATGCAACCCTGAATCCTCTATCTAGTCAAATTACCAACCAGGTGTGAGGACAGAAAAAAACTTTGGCTGAAAAGACATTGGCAAGATTTCAAGTACCCTTTCTCCAGAAATCGCTGGAGGATGTGCTCCATCAAAATGTAGAGTAAATACAGAAAAAGGAAGACATGGGATGTAGGAAATATTAAATGTATTTTAGGAGAATTACCAGGACAAAGTAAGAGGTCTTTGCAGGATGAAAACTGCAGGCAACAAATCCACAGTGTGGGTGAAATTTATTCAGGAAGATGAAATTAAAAGAATGTCTGATGCACACAAACGCCTTAAGAGAAGATTAGAGCACAGGTCAGCGCTGGCTCACTGCCTGTTTTTTAAATACAGTGTTACTTGAACATAACTATTCCCATGTATTTATACATGGTCTAAGGCTCCTTTCACACTACAAAGCAGAGTTGAATGGTTGACACAGGTACCATAAAGCCTGCCAAGTCCAAATATGTTCTCTCTGGCCCTTTATAAGAAAGAGTTTACAGACATGCTCTAGAGAATTGACTCTAGATGGACAAGAGCTTATGGTTGTGGGGCGCCTGGGTGGCTCAGTCGTTAAGCGTCTGCCTTTGGCTCAGGTCATGATCCCAGGGTGCTGGGATCGAGTGCCGCATTGGGCTCCCTGCTCAGCGGGAAGCCTGCTTCTCCCTCTCCCGCTCCCCTGCTTGTGTTCCCTCTCTCTCTATCTTTCTCTCTCTGTCAAATAAATAAAATCTTAAAAAAAAAAAAAAGCTTTTGGTTGAATTAGTTATGTGTACAGAGAAAATGATGTAACTGCTCAATTCAGGGAGAACAAAAATTGGGCAGGAAAGGAAGAGTAGCCTTGATTTATTACATGGCTTAGCTTTGAATATATGTACATGATTATAATAATGTAAATGTCTAGTACTCTGCTCATTAAAATTACCATACAACTGCGTTGGGAAGATGGGAAGGATATCAATGCGTGGTGGGAAAGGGAAGAATGCACTTGCTCCTCATCTTCCATAGTGGGAAGTCAGTAGATTGGCCCTAAAACTGAAGACGAAACATGGCAATAAATATCAAGATCCTTGGTTCAAAGAGGTAAACAACGGGCAGTGGGACAGGGACCGCTATTTTTTCATACAAACCTTTTGCAGGCTTTTAAAGCTGTCTCCCTTTATAAAATTAAGAAAACTCCCCCACAAAACGAGGAAACAAAAAAGAAACTTCAACATCAGCAAATACATAGTATGTACTCGAGCTGCCCTTTTCTGCCCTCACGTCCAGCGGATGTGTATCACTAATCATCCCGGTCCGTTTCCTGGTGAGTCGGGACGCATTCACACAATCTGCACATTTGCGCTCCAAAAAGAGGCGGCCCCACTCAGGAAACCTCTATCTCTGATACAATTTAGGCACCAATTTAGGCAGATTCTGTCTGGTTCACAGACATTTCCTCCAAAAGAACATCGCTAAGATGCATTATTTGGCTGCTGCATTTTATTTTATTTTATTTTATTTTGTTTTATTTTATTTTGTTTTATCTTACTTTATTTTATCTTATTTTATTCTATTTTTAAAGATTTATTTATTTAATTGAGAGAGAAAGAGAGGCTGTACTCACACAAATGGGAAAGCAGACTCCCTGCTGAACGTAGAGCCCAACCCGGGGCTCGATCTCCCCACTGGGAGATCCTGGCCAGACCTGAAACCAAGACGCTCAATGGACTGAGCCACTCAGACATCCCAGTAGCTGCATTTTAAAATTCCATCTGTTCTGAACATTTCTTCTTAAACCCACAAGCTTGGGAAGACAGTTATTTCTCAATAATTATTTGTAGATACAGGGCAATTTATTAATATTTTCTCATCATCTGGCATTTGGACCTAACGTAATAGGCTGGTAAATGTTTGAATGAATGAATAAATGAACTCTGTTGTATAATCAACAATTTTTTAAAAACCAAGATGACCTGAGAAGCTGCAGAAATGAACCCTTGTAAAAGCCACAGGTGATTCCATACCTTTCTTCAGCTTTTCAGTCACCAAAGCTAAATTGTGCTTCTGAATGAGTTTGATTTCTGAATTAAAGTAGTTTTTGCTTTTTTTCTGACTCTTCATAGGATCTTTCCAATCAAAGATGTACCCCTGGAGACGGATGGCCTTGCTGATTGGCTCTATCAACGTTTTGTTGAAAAAGAGGCGCTCTTATCACATTTTTATGAAACAGGTACGCAGTATCCTATTACGTATGTTTCTGAAGTTGGTGATAGTTCCAAAGATGTACGTTAGGGGAGATAACCATTTTTCCATTCTTCAGATACCCTAAAGGAATCAAAGTATTTCTATATTTAAGAATTCCAGCTTAGAATATTCATAAGGACAGTGTTAATGTTAAACTTATTCAGGCCCTTACTTTAGCAGCCCGTGTGCAAGATCACATGATGAGTAAAATGTACAAGTGGAACTAATTCAAGACAGTACACAGTATGTAGAAGAGTACAGTCGTACGTGTACAATTACACGGACTGTTTTATGACATAGCAAATACTATTTATGGTTCGGCATTGTACGTGATTGTTTAAATAGTACCATCATCTTGCAGTCATTTGAGATCATTTTGAACTGCATTTTTACATGCTTATTCTTTTCTTTACATACAGGGATAAAGCTTACTTTTTAAGTTTTCACAGATACAACCTTGTACTTTTCTCCTTGAGAGAAAAAAGTCAATTTACCTCAAGGCCCCTTATCTACACTCAATATTCTGTACCTTCTGTGAAAACTGCAATGCAGTCAAACAGACATAGGAAGGGAGGGGAGAAGGGAGGGAGGAAGAAAGGAAGTTAGGAAAGAAGGAAATTAGGGGCGCCTGGGTGGCTCAGTCGTTAAGCGTCTGCCTTCGGCTCAGGTCATGATCCCAGAGTCCTGGGATCGAGCCCCACATCGAGCCCCACATCGAGCCCCACATCGAGCCCCACATCAAGCCCCACATCGGGATCCCTGCTTGGCGGGAGGCCTGCTTCTCCCTCTCCC